GCTCATGGATTGGAAGAATTAACATTATCAAAATGGACATCCTCCCAAAAGCAATTTACAGAATCAATGCTATTCCAATAAAAATTCAATGACATTCTTCAAAGAAATAAAACAAATATTGATGAAATTCATTTGGAGCCACCAAAAACCCCAAATAGCCAAAGATTTCCTGAAAAAAAATAGAAGGGAATGGAAGTATCACACTCCCAGACTTCAAACTATACTACAAAGCCATAATAAATAAAACTGCATGGTATTGGACTGAGAACAGACACATGGACCAATGGAATGGAATAGAAAATTCAGAAATAAACCCACAGATTTATGGTCAACGAATCTTTGACAAAGGAGCAAAGAATATGCAATGGAGCAAAGAAAGTTTGTTCAATAAATGGTGTTGGGAAAACTGGGTTGCTACATGCAAAAGAATGAAGCTTGATTACTACCTCATACCATGCACAAAAACCAACTCAAAATGGATTAAAGAACTAGACATAAGACCTGAAACCATAAAATATATAGAAGGAAATACAGGTGAAACACTACATGACATACATCTCAGTAACATCTTTAAAGATTCATCACCCAAAGCAGTGATAGTGAAGGCAAAGATAAATAGCTGGGACTACATCAGATTAAAGCGCATCTGTACAGCAAAAGAGACAGTAACCAAAACAAAGAGACACCCCATCGACTGGGAGAAAATTTTTGCACCCAACACTAATGACAAAGGAATGATCACAAAAATCTACAAAGAGCTGAAGAGACTCAACAAAAACAAAGTAAATAATCCAGTCAAAAAATGGGCAGAAGAGCTAAAAAGAAACTTCTCCAAAGAGGAAATGCAATTGGCCAATAGGCATATGAAAAAATGTTCAACATCACCTGGAATCAGGGAAATGCAAATCAAAACTACAATGAGATACCATCTCACACCAGTGAGAATGGCACATATTAAAAAAACTAGCAACAACAAATGTTGGCGAGGATGTGGAGAAAAAGGAACTCTCCTGCACAGCTGGTGGGAGTGCAAGCTGGTCCAACCACTATGGAGAGTTGTGTGGAGATTCCTCAACCTACTAAAGATAGAGCTTCCATATGATCCAGAGCTTCCATATGATTCCACTCCTAGGTATTTACCCAAAGGACACAGAAACATTAATTCAAAAGGGCACCTGCACCCCTATGTTTATAGCAGCACTATTTACAATAGTTAAGCTATGGAAACAACTCAAATGCCCCCAAATAGATGACTGGATCAAGAAGATGTGGTACATGTACACAGTGGAATATTACTCAGCAGTCAAAAAAGATAAACACATGCAATTTGCAGCAACATGGATGGAGCTGGAAGGGATCATGCTCAGCGAAATAAGCCAGAAAGAAAGGGAAAAATACTGGATTATCTCACTCATAGCAGGAATATAGAAAACCTAAATAAGGGACAAGGAAAAATACTAATTATAATAAAGTAAAAATCAAAATCAACAGGCAACTATGAACCAGAGACACACTACATGGGGCGGAGGGGGAAAAGGGAGTAGGATTAAAACAAGGGGGTGGGAATTGTATGGGGACTATAACCAAGATGAAAATGCATACATTGTACAAATATGAAAAATGATGTAAAAAATGTATAAAATAAAATTGAAAAAAAATAAAATGTATGCTGACTTAGGCTTCAATGCATGAAAAAAAGAAACAACAAAAGGGGTTTCCATCCTAGCAGGTGAAAGGAGGGGCAAGGATGCCATGGTTTGGGGAGAGAGTTCTGTTCTATGCCAGGTATTTGATAGACTTTATAATTTCAAAACAGTTTTATCGAGGTATCATTGATATACAAAATACTGCACATCCTTAATAAATACAATCTGATGAGTTTAGACATATGCAAATATCTGTGAAATCATCGTCCAGTCAAGGTAATAGACATTTCCATCACCTCCAAAATTTTCCTTTTTGTTTTGTTCTGTGATAAGAACATGTAATGTGAGGTCTAACCTCTAACAAATATGTAACTGCACAGCACGGCATTGTTAACTCCAGGCACTGCATTGTACAAAAGTGCTAGTTAATCCTCATGGTAGCTGTGGGAGGGAGATATCGTTCCCATTTTACAGATGAAGATCTTGACGTGTAGGAAGGCTAAATTCTTTGCCCAGGGCCATCCATCTAGTTAACAGAAGATCCAAGATTCATGATTCAGTTTCATCTGGCTTTTAAGGCCCAGGTGGTTCTTATTATGTTATAATGCCTCCCCTGTTCTGTCTGCTTTGATATCCCACTGGCTGAGCTGAGCCAGAAGGGAAGGGACCTCTAATCTTGGTGTGCCCTTAAAGTATTCAGAGGGCAGGAATCAGAAGAAAATTTTGAGCAATAATTGAGGGACAGATGAAGCTCAGTTTGTATACTTCCGAAGGAGGGTGGGGTATGGAATCAGAGCACAAGCATCAGCTCGGGTCAGCAACGCAGAAGACAGTGATGATCTTGATGAGCTCCTATGCCAAGTGCTAAGTGTCCAGACCCTCTGCTGCTGGACTGTCCAGCAGGAACTCAGACAGGGTTGTGGAATGAGAGACAGGGAGAAGGCAGGGTTTCAGCAGCAGCTTAAAAGTCCTGAAATCCTCACACATACACCCAGCCTGAACATGTATGCTGCCTTCTCTTTTCCTAGCCCACAGTCTCCAAGTGATGCCATTTCTTGTTTTGCGCTCACCTGCTTTGCTGTTTTTGACCTGATTTTAAATGGAGAGAAGCGGAGAAAACCCAATGAAAGTCTAGTGTAGGAAAGGGAGCTGGGTTTCAATCTAGATTCTCACTAGCCATATAAATAAATGGAAACAAGAAATTTGATCTTAAAGATTCTAAATTTTCTCACCTGGAAAATGGGGGAAATGATAGTTACCTCAAAGAATAGTCAGAAATATCAAATAAAGCAGTGGATGCAAAACCATCTATGTTTGGCGCATAGTAAATGTTAGATGTACTTTTGACAGATTTGTGAATTGATGCTCTAGGGATTTCATAACTGTAGACTTACGTGGCTGGTACTGTTCTTCCTATTTAGGAAAAATGATGTTGGGGTTCCTCTTGGGCAGGTCTTAGTGGTAGCCTTGAATCACAATTAAAGACACTAGATAGATCATCTATTCCCTCCCCAACTTAAAGGCAATAGAGAAAACACCTCGCTAAAGCCTAGTGCTGCTGCTGCAGCTGCTGCTGCAAACACTATCAAAGGCGGGGACCCAGCCTCTGCTGTGGGCTTCAGCTGCAAAAGATCTGAGCGGCCTCCAGCTTGTGCGCTGGTTTTTGAGGGCAAGAAGATCTTTAGTCCTGTCTCTGAGCCTCTGGACTGAGGCAGAGCAAAAGTGGCCCTGAATATGTGGAGTGATGTGAGAACCTGGTAGGTCTGAGCACAACATTCTACTTTCCACCCTTCTTTTTTGTATAGCAGTCTCCATCTCAGAAATGCACAGAACACTGGTTTCACCGCTAGCTATATGTAGTGAAGTGGCTCACATCTTGAGAAGGATGTGGGACAGAAGAGAGGCTGAGCGCCCCCTGCTGGAGCTGGATGAGCTGGTAGCCTCTGGCTGATTAACCTGCAAGCTTGGCGCTATTCCTCCACCTCCAAGCTGTAATCCTTCCCATTTAATCTGAAGCCATAGGAATAACCTGGTCCAAGAAAGCTAGGGGATTGCTAAGCAGGCCAGGGCCATAGGGAGGTCCACTGGCAATCCCTAGTTTCTTGGCCAGCCCTTTCCTTCCCACTCTGCCAGTGCAGTAAAGCAGACGATGCTATTGTATCTTATAGTCTGCTGTATAGCCAGGTATTTTTCCCCTCTTAAGGAGTGCTAAAATGTTAGCAGGGTCCATACACTGTAGTCCAGAGACATTTAACACCATTCCTGACTTCCAGGAATGTAACTTCCTGGCCCATGTTATTTCTTTCCAGAGTTATAGACTGGGAGGTGACACCTCAGAGCATCTATCATCTCCCTAGCAAAGGAAAGCCTCTATTTGTTCCATGACAGATGTCCATTCAGGCTCTGCTTGTATACCTCTGGGGATGGGGAGCTCACTTTCTCCCAAAAGAGTCCATCCAATGGCTGACAACTCTTTGCTAGAAAGCTTTCCTTATCTTTGAGCTGAAATCTTCTAATGAGTCTTCCTGCACAGATTTGGTTCTTTGCTTCTTTTAGACAAAAAGAAAGTCTATGACCTCCTTTAAGCATTTTATTTTTTTTTTCCTTTCCTACCTCCACTCCCTCTCAATTTTTTTTTTAATCTCAGATAAACAGCTCTAATCTCCTCATTCATTTCTAAAGGGACGTGATTTGCTGACACCTCATCACCTTGGTCACCGCCAAATGATGTTAACTATTACTTATGGAGCACTTTTGCTGACATTTCTTATATTTAAGTTCATCAAACCTGCTGTCGAGAGTTAGACACAACTATTCCCATTTTTATGAGTAAAGAAACAAAGATTCACAGAGGCTAAATAACTTGCTCAAGGTCACATAGCTATTGGGGATAGAACCAGGATTTGAATGCAGAATTAGAACCAGAGTTGCCTGGCTACAAATTTCAAGAAACCACTACCCTCCCTGCTGATGGTGGTCTGTGACCCAATTAATCAATGTAGTTTTAAAAGTAGGATCTAAATATGGACGTGGCATGACGATGACAGTGGTCTGACAGGTAAAAATAGATCTGGACTCTGATCTTCTCTATTTTATGCAGTCTGCCTTGATTCGTGCTACCTCAAGCGATGCCATCATTTCTGAAAAGCCTGAGCGGCTGCAGTCAAGTAAACTTCCCGGCACCGAGACACAGGGACTGCTGGCAGCCAAGTCTGGACTCTTCAGCCTTCTCTTGATGACAGAGTGTCTCACTTCAAAAGTGAGGGTTACACCAACTTGGGTTGGCTGCTTGGTTCTTGAGGGAGCGGAAGACATAAAAGGAAAGGTGCCAAGAACACTCGGAGGAATGGAGGATCTGCATAAACACTTTATTTGTGTTCCTCTGGGCAACAAGAACCCAGGGGAGAAGCTGTATATACAACACAACATATGTTGCCAACGAACATATGGTTCTTTGTCATCATCTCTGAAAACCAATAAGCAAAGGGAGGATAAACTTTGCTTTCGATTTTTGCAACAAACTTCGAAAATCTCCAACTCAAAGCATTAGAATGCTTAACTGGAGCTTTGTGCTAAAGGCCCAGTCTCCCTGGAGCCTCCCTTCCTCTCCCCACCTCCTAATCCTCATTTCCGGGAGGTCATTTTAATTAGCAGGCTGTCATGGTGACTCAGCCTGCTGCCTCGCAGACTGGAAGGGAGCACACTCCCGGAGACCAACTCATCATACAAAGGCACTTTACTGTTTAGAAAAATGCACAATATTTAGCTTGTCCCACCTAGGGAATCGCTGCTGCCGTGGTTTCACATTCCACCCGGCCTGGGAGTGTATCCTTTTGTCTCTGGCATCTCCCTAATGTGGCATCAGCCTCCCCGCAGTGCAGATAATCAGTGCCCATCTCTTCAATGGCCAGGTTTGCACTCCTACACCAGGATCGGGAGATTTTAAACATGAGACCTTTTGGGATGCATGACTAACTTTATGTCTTTGCTGCTAAAGTTGCAATAAAATTACCCAGGTCATTGGGAAATAGTCCTCAAAACCATGTCCTATAGCTGCATGCGGGGGGAGGGGTAGTGCGCTGCACGCGCCCAGTGCAGTGGTCATCTGTCTACGAGCACTGTGATTTCAAAGATTCTGTCCCATTGTTCCCAACAGTTTTTGAGTTGTATGTGTTGGTGGGCGTGTTTTATATCAGCAAATATGGGCATTGCATTTCTAAACTGTAAACAAAACAAGCATAGCCTATTTGAAAAGGTAACCATCTAGTAACTATACAGCTTAAAAAGATTAAGAGGCTTGTTTATAGCTTTGGAAACAGCCCAAATGCCCAAAAATAGATGACTGGATCAAGAAGATGTGGTACATATAACCCATGGAATATTACTCAGCATTCAAAAAAGATAAACACATGCAATTTGCAGCAACATGGATGGCGCTAGAAGGGATCATGCTCAGTGAAATAAGCCAGAAAGAAAAAGAAAAATACCGGATGGTCTCACTCATAGCAGGGATCTAGAAAACTTAAATAAGGGACCAGGAAAATGAATAACTATAAGAAAGTGAAAATCAAAATCAACAAAAACTATGAACCAGAGACACTTTTTGGGGGGTGGGGGGCGGGAGGGGAGGGATTGGGGTCAGAATGGGGGGATTGCAATTGTATGGGGAATATAAAAATAAAATTTATTAATTAAAAAAAATACAAATGGGTAAATACTTAGTGAAAAAAAATAATAAAATAAAATCTAAGGGATAAAAAAAAAAAAAAAAATTAAGAGGCTTTACAAGCACTGACCTGAGATGGGGGCAAACTCTCCAAAGGGATGTCTAGGTTTTCCACATCATGTGAGGGTCTCTATGTTGTGGGAAATTGCATCTGTACCTGCTTGGTTGGGGGCTCCTATTATGTTCCTGAGCCTTAAGCTGAAGGTGCACAATTGACTTGACATTGGTAGAAGGGAAAGCTGGTGATGAAATGTCTTAGTTTTCCCCCTTCCTGTTTACTTACTAGCTTACTCATTATCCCACAGTTCTTATCTTGGACACTAGAAAAATGAGATTCATTTCAAATCCCAGCAGAAAATGCACACGCCTGATGCCGCAAGACTTCCCAAACCCCATGTCTTTAAAAAGAGTCTGAAGGGCCTTTGTGGTTCACTGAGCTCTTCTTGTCCCCTTTGCCAGTGGGGTAGTTGCCGGCTGAATCCCGCAGGAGTGGGTGCTTGTAGGGAGGGGGTTTTTCTTTCCTGTATAGGGGGAGATAACAGTAAGAGAGCAGAAAGACAGCACATATACACAGCACACTGCAATCATCTGTGTGCATGTCTATCTCCCCCATTGGGCTGTGACCTCCTAGGAGTCATGGCCGTCTCTTCCTCTTGTGTCCCTGGAATCCAGACCAGGGTTTGGTTGCAAGCAAGCACCTTGGCTCAATGAATGACTGTTAGATGGATGGATGGATGCATGGATGGATGGACGGACGGATGGACGGATACACTGTACCATTCTGGTTCTGGAGAAATCCTGACTGTCCTACAGCTCCAAATCTTCTACCTTGACTCTAGTTCATTCATCCACGTCATGATGGGATGGAGATAAAAACACAGATCTATAGCTTGGGAACACATGGGATCTCATTCTCTTCATAACCCTCATGGGCTCCAGAGTCCCCATTATATCCTTCAGTATAGCCAAATACTGAAGATGGCGTTGCATGATGGTTCTGTATTCCCCACAAACTTGGGGGCTCTTGGAAGACAGAAAATCACTTAGTTTCTTTATATGTCTCAGCACTCAGAGTGAAATGCAATATCCTTAAAACTACCCTTCAGTAACTCACCACTCTCTGCTTTGCCCACACACTAGACTCTGAGCTCCTTGTGGGTAAGGACCACGTTGAGGATTTTCTGTATTTTCTCCACCCAGGATCTTGTTTATATTGTTGACTGATAAACTGATGTGCCATTGGATTAAGATTTATTTGCAGTTGAAAGAGTGGGCTTTAGAGCCAGAAAGTTTGGAAGTGAATTCCCAGGTCATCTTTATAGGAGAAATGTGACCTTAGGCAAGTTATTTAACTTCTCTGAGCTTCATTTGTAAAATGGAGATAAAATATTCCAATTTGTCAGTGGTGTTGTGAGGTTAAGAAGATAATATGAATGAATGTATCTGGTGTCTCCCCTTGCCTCCTGAAACTTACAAAGCAATGTTCTAGGTACACGGGATGGGTCAACAGACCCTGGAGGTGACAAAGATGAGGCAGGCATAGGTGCTGTCCTTGCAGTGCTTACAGTTGAGCAGGGGAGACAGGTGTACAAAATAACTACACAAAATAATGAAGAACTATAATACACAGAAGAAAATGGCAAGCACCATAAATAAGGAACTCTTGGGCATTTGAATTAGGATTAGGAGTCCTTTCTGGCTGGGTCTCATTTTTATTTTCTATAACATGAAGGGGTTAAAGTGGATGATTCTTAGGGGCTTCTTTAGTTCTACCATTTTTACCATTTTATAATTTGGTGACATTACTCCACGCTGGCCATGTACTATGCGTTAAGGACATGGAGTGCTAAGAGAGCTCATCAAGGAGTGAGCTGTCAGAAAAGAAGCCAAGCACAACAAGACACCATGACAACCCACAATGGACACACCAGGCTGGTCGCACACAAAATGCAACTAGCACTCCAGCAGGGGAGAATGAGCTCTGTTGCAGGCGTAAAACAGGGACAATGGACCACAGCTATGGCGTGTCAAGTGGGCTTTGAAAGATAAGTAGGAGTTCACCATGATGAGACAAAAAGGAGAACATTCCAGGCAGAGGGTAAAGGGTGAACAAAGAGATGGAGGTATGAAAATAGTTGACTTATCAGGGTGAAGCATGGGCATGAAGTGGTAGAAAGCAGGTGGGATGAAGAAAGTGCTCACAAGGAAAAGGGCATGGTAGGAGGCTGTAAGTGAAGTTTAAAATGTAGGCCAGGACCTTGAATAGCAAGAAGAGAAATTGGAACACTACACCGAAGGTAATGGGGAGCCATGGAAGGTGTTTGAGAGAGGGTATGATCTGATATGTAGCTGAGCACTTTTATACACTCTTTGGTATTGTTTGTTATCTTTGCATGTGTACATGCTGTTCTCTGCCATAAATTTGGGCTCTTGATGTGCAGGGGCTACTAATCTCCTCTAGCATGTAGTGCTGGGCCTGGCACTTAGTGGACTTCATTGTATTGAGTAGTTGATGATCTCCCATCAAAACCCCACCATGGAGCGGGGCCTCTCAGCCTGAGAGGCTGAGCCTGAGTCCAAGCTACTCAGAGGCCAGCTTACCCGTCATGCTGGAGCTCTGTCTCTCTACAGAGGCTCACCTGGCTTCTTCGTTATTCCTGTTCAATATTTATCCCCTTTGACGGGGCATTTTGTACTTTAGCTCTGTGACTGTGTCACTGTGGTCCCAATAAATGCGGGGTCTCAGCTTTGGTCATGTTACCAGGGCCGAGAGCCAGCCCTCAGGCTCACATTGCTGGCCCTCCCCCAAGGGGACCCTCTGAAGCGTGGCTCACCATCCAGGGAGGCCGACAGGCTCCCACCAGCATGTGGGTGGAAACTGGCATAATTATCCAAGAGATAAGAGAAAACAAAGATTAATTTCAAGTCAAAACATGTAATTTTCCTTTAAAAGCAGAACTGCTCTTTCACTTATGCCGCTTGATCCTTAGGTAGAAAATAATAAAGGTATAATGATAAAAGCAAAATAATAAAAGGCAAAGAATTCCAGTCCCAAGTCAGAACTTTGTATCCTCCTAGGAATCTGAGGAGTCGCTGGCCAATGGAGAGTTAAGATAATCATGGTTTAACGAGGCAGAAGTATAGGGATGGAGAGGGAGGAATTCTATTTTTCTTACTTTAAGGGTGGGTGCATTTACTTCAGTCCTCAAGGCTATGAACTTGTGAGGAATCAGCTCTGTAACTCTTTTCTAAAGAGGGCTCCAAACTCAAACTCAGGGCAAGGGGTCTATAAACAGTTAAAATCAGGGTGCTGAGAACTCCCTGCATTCAATTCAGTTTCCAAGCCTGTACCTCCCCGCACCTCCAAGGATTCTTCACTGAGGAGGCTGAGAACCAGGCTGGGGGTGGGGTCTGGGCTCTAGTTCTGGCTGTGACCAACCCTGGCTGCTCCCTGAGCCTCAGCTTCCTCATCTGTTTCATGAAGAGGGGCCCAGGGGATGGCGAATCTCCCCAGTGTCAGTGACACTCCGCTGGTTCGTGATGTACATCATGCCAGGAAAAGTGGTAAAGGATCAAGGTAATTTTGTTCACACTGACAGAGGACCTGAAAGAGACAATCCCCAAATTAACTTCTAAATGAGATTCTAAGAATTCTTTTGAGTTTTATGAAGCTTTAAATTTTGAAGACCATTAACCAATCAAGAGTGACTTCTAAGAATGAAGTGAACACTTTCCTCTAGAGGGGCCTCCTCAGAGGCAGTGGTCAGCCCTTAATCCTTGACTCATCCCAGCTCCTCCCTCCCCGCAGGGGCCTGGCACAAAGTGCTGTTTTTCCTAAGTGAATGAATGAATGTGCGCATGTAGCCTTAACAGTGTAGGCACTGCAGGGCACAGAGAAGAAACGGATGTGGTTCTTCTGAAGAAGTTACTAATCTACCAGATGACGGTGGGGGTGAAGGGTCTGAGGGGTGCACAAAGACCCCAGAACAATCTGAGAGGAACAGGGTATGAGTCAGAGTGCACCTTTATGCAGACTCCACTTGGAACTGGGGTGCAGAGCCTGGAACTCATCATGAAGAGGTGTAGACCTGAGAGATCATCCAGCCCACACGAGTCCAGGGATCTGCTCAATGAGCTGGCTGGAAACCTGGGATTACAACCCAGAAACCAGAGGAGATGGGAACATTTATTGAGCACCTACTGGCTTCTAGGCACTGTATTCAGCTTGCATCTAATCTTGAAAACCATTTTTGGAGGCTACTATTATCCCCACCTTATAGGAAGGTAGAGAAAGGATTTATGAAGCAAGGAACTGTCCAAGGTGCCTCAGCAAGTATGAGCCTGAGATGGTATTTGAACCCACAGCGAGAATGGCTTCTCACTTGAGGTGGAGTTTAGCTGGACCTCAGACAAGTTTCAGAATCATAAAAGTCTAGGATCTAATCCTGCCTCTGCCAAAAATTCTGACCACAGGGAATTCTCTTCATCTTTCTGAGCTTCCTTTTCCATACTTTTAATATAAGGGATATAATATTTATAAGGAATAAATAAGAACATGTACAAAAAAGAAAAAATATTTTGTTCAATAAATAACAGTGACTAATATGGTTTCTGTTAGACATGAGAGAGGGTATTAAGGAAGGTGCACCAGTGCAAATGTCCTGAGGTAGAAAAGCACACGGGCAAGGTCATGAGAAGGCCAGTGGGAAGACTGGCAGCATCATTGAGTTGGACACTGCCATATCCTTCAAGAAGAATGGACCACTAAGGGAACAGTCAATGAGACCAAGAGGTAGAAGCAAGTCAGCATATTCCAGAGGCCATTAGATGTCATTACCCAAATGCTTACTGGGCTTACCTCCAGGAGACATGGGAATGACCAGTGCTTTGGGCTCTGGCCCAGACCTTAGGAAAGATACTTAGCTCCTGAACTTCTCTCCTTACTAGCCTAAGAACTAACTGTAGCAGAAGACCCAAGGAGAAACTTCTCAGGGGTATGTATTTCTAGCCCAGAACATTTGTACCTTAAGGAGTCTATGGCTGATGAGGGGACATGTGTATGTCTAGCACTGTATGGGGAACCTTAACATTCAGCTTATGATAATCTAGGTGAGCATATTGTTTTTGCAGATGAGGAAAGCGAAGGGTCAGAGGCCTTATGAGTCTGGATGACACAGTAAGGAATCTTGGAGGATGAGTTATCAGATGAAGTAGTATATGAAGACACCAAAATTAACTTAGAACAATGACTGGACTCAGCTCCCCAACCTCCCCCATCCCTGTGGATTCCCATGTTAGGCCCAGAAATGTGACCACCCCCTCACCCCACCTGACCCCATAATGATACTTAACACTCAGGACAGCCACTGTGAGCTCTTCTGCCCCATCTGTTCTATGTGGCAGTGCCAGGATGATCCTGTGCCACAGATGGGAAACTGGGGGCCAGAGAAGGTCTAAGGGAAGTTGTCTCTGAACACAGCGCCTGTCAAGCAGGACTAGATTTTACCCTGCTAGTTCTGCCACTTACCGCAGCCTTGGCATGGGAAACGACACTTTCTCGACCACAGGGTTTAGACGATAATAATCCAAAAATGTTCTTGCCACATTCCGCCCCAGCTTCATATCTGCGAGTGTGTGCATTAAGGAACAACTTTGAAAAGAGATAGTGAAAAGAGGACTAGTCATAAAAATTATAATAAAAAACAGTAATACCACTCACTGTTCTAAACTTTTTGTATGGATTGTCTTTCTTGATCTTCATAAAATTTTAAACGGCTGATACAATTATGTCCCACCCCCACCCCCGGCTTTCACAGGTAAGGAAATTGAGGGGCAGGGGCTAAATCATTTGCCCAAGGTCACAGAATCTTGAAATTTACCAATAATGAATTCTTAGGGTAAGGATTCATGTCCTGTTAAAGTTCAGACTCCCTGGGACAGGAGAAAGGATTAATTCCATATCGACACCTTAGGGTAAATTAGTACATCTATTCAACAACATGGACTATCTGCCCTGTGCATTGTAACTCACATCCCTGGGCCTTCACACACAAGCTATTTCCTCTGCTGGAAGTACCTTTTCCCTTTTCCTTTGACTAATTCATACTCATAAATTTTCCACTTTACTACCTTTAGTAAAGCCTTCCACGTCACTCTATGCCAGGTTGTAACTGGTGCCCTTGCCCAATACTTCCATGATTTCTGAAATGATTACATTCAAGAACTTTCACCCCTCAGCTCTGAACATCCAAACTGTCACCAACTCTTGTCCATGAGAACTTCTGTCTCTTGAGTTAGTCCATTTCGTTCCTGTCCCCTGCTGTCTTCCTAGAAGATGCCAACGCCATCTTTTCTCTTGACCACTGTCTACCCATCCCAATAGGCCTCAGGCCACATGATTGCCTGCCTCTACTGAAACCTTTCAGTGGCTCCCAGTTGCCTTTAAAGTTCAAATTTTGTGAATTCCTGCTATGAGTGAGACAATCCGGTATTTTTCTTTTTCTTTCTGTCTTATTTCCCTGAGCATGATCCCTTCCAGCTCCATCCATGTTGCTGCAAATTGCATGAGTTTCTCTTTTTTGATTGCTGAGTAATATTCCATTGTGTTTAAGTACCACATCTTCTTGATTCAGTCATTTATTTAGAAAACCTAAATAAGGGACCAGGAAAAAACCTAATTATAATAAAGTAAAAATCAAAATCAACAAGCAACAATAAACCAGAGACACACTATTGTGGGGGAGGGAGTAGGATCAAAACCAGGGAGCTGGGAATTGTGTGGGGACTATAACCAAGATGAAAATGCATACATTGTGCAAAAATGAAAAACGATGTAAAAACGTATAAAATTAAAAAAAAGAAAGCTCAAATTTTGGAACTTAATTTACAAGGCCCTACAGAGATGGGTCCCTGATTATTTTTCTAGCATTTTACTTACTACTTCCCATCTCCTACCACTTTGCCCTTCTAACACTGGCAAAACTGACAATTTTTGTCTCTCTTTCTTTGTCCATGCCACTCTATTTTCCAGACCAGGCTCCCTCCCTCCACGTGCTTCCAGGGCCAACCTCTTTTAAGCCTCCAGATACCTCTGTTTGTTGTCAATTCACTGGATAAGCCTTGGCCACTGCCCATCCAGGGCCATGGAGCTGGACTCACATTTTAGGGGCAATCAAGTGACTTCTCACCACCTTCTTCCAGTTGAGGTTGGGCATAACCCAGGACATGAAAACTAGCATTGATGGAGCACCTATTATATGCCTGGCTCTGCACTAAGTCCTTTGCTTACATCTGTATTTTTAATCTTCAGAACAATGCAGAAAGAAAGGCATTCTTATCCCCACTTTGCCCTGGATGCCTAAGGATCATGTCCAAGGCCACATAACTGGCAGTGGCAGAGTCAGAACTCTAATTCAGAAAGGTCTGACCGCAGAACCTTGAGCTTTCCACCAGCCTGGGCTGCTTCCAACTTGAAGGCACCTTTTCTGTCAAGGGCTGAGTCATCCTAGGCCTGACTAGTGGGAGAAGGAAAAACACCAGATGCCTTGTTTACGATGGTGAGAGGCACCGCAGGCTCGCTGAGCTCTGGACCTGCCACCTGTCTTCTTCCTCTGGATGTGACCGACCTTCTCTCTCTCCTTTCAGAAGTCCGTAAGCTGGCATGGGGCACAGCCTCTCTGACCAGCAGACCCTGGGGGCCTCTCACTGCCAGGGCCTGTAGGGGTGGCTGGCGGCTTTAACCTAGCCAAGCATAGGGAGACCAGACCACCGAGTGTGTGCTAACAGTAAGAGCTTCAGGGGCGCAGAGGAAAGAAGAGGTCCCTGGGATAAAAAGCTGCAGTAGAAGTTTTGGAGTCAGATGCATCTAATCCAAATCCTGGCTCCGCCACAGGCTGTGCATGGCAGACAGTATTTTCCAAAGAGCTTCTCGCTCATGCTATTCTGTGATAAGACCTTGGCATTTCTTCCACTGAGAGGTGTGCTCTGTGTCCTCTCTCCTAGAATCTAGGTGGGCTTGAGACTCACTTCACATCAAAAGAAAGGCAAAAATGATATAAGTGGCATTGTGGGACTTCTGAGGTGATGTCAGAAAAGTCCATGTGGCACGCACCTTGCAGGCTGGAATATTGGAGCTGGGGTCCTGGACTCGCATGCCCCCGTCTGATTGCTGAAGGCCACCATGCTGTGAGGACGTCCAAACTAGCCCATGAGGAGGGGCTGCAAGGAGAGGCCTGAGACTACAGAGATTCCAGCCAGCCCACAGCTCTGCCTTCCAGCCCCACTCATTACCTGTCTGCAAGTGCATCAAAGACTCCTCTCTAGAACAACCCAGTTGAGTCATCCCCAAATTTCTGACCCATGGAAAATATGAGAGAATTGCTATGGTTTCCAACATTGGGTTTCAGGAGATTTGTTGTGCAGCGATAGGGAACTGGAACAATGCGTGCTCTCACAGAAGCTGGCCCATCTCGCTAAGCTCTAGTTTCCCCATCTTAAATGAGCATCCCGGGTTGTTGTGATGAAGTGTGCGATTACCATGGAGTGCAGATGTAAAAAGTGAGTGAAGGGGGGAAGAGCCAGTGTGAACCCTTCCTCCCCAGCCTGCAGTGACAGGCAGACTTGGAGCAAGCCTGGACCGCATCCCTGTTAGTCCTCTTTAGGGCAAGGAGATGGGCTGTTCCAGGAAAGCATCCTCCTGTGACGATCCTTTTACACGGCTCTGTTTAAGTCTTTCAAAGTGGGGGTTGTCTGGGACAACCCTCTTCCCCTTTCTTCAACCATATCTGTGATAAGCAGCGAGGAATACGCACAGGCACTGCGGCCGAGGCAGTGGGGGTACGGCGTTAGATCAGCTGTGAACTGAGGGTGTGTAAACTGAGAGTGGAATCATGGTCATGGCAGCACCTCTGAAGGGTCCCTCAGTGGAGAGACAGGCAGACAAGTCATGTAGAGCCTTACTCTGGGCCACCTTAAAGAGTCTGGATTTTCTAAGCAAGCGGTAAGCTACTGAAGAATTTTAAGCAGGAACATGAGATGGTGTGATTTATATTTTTCAAAGGTCACTGCTGTGCTAAAAATAGGAAAGCAAGAGTAGAAGTGGGCAGATGAGCCAGGAGGCTACTCAGAGGCTCAGGGGAAAGACGAGAGGGCCTGGCGACAGAGGCAGTCGATATGGGAAGGTTTGTTTTGGGGAAGAACGAGCAGGACCTGCTGATGCCTGGAGACTAGACGCGGGGCCTGAAGAAGAGGCAGGAATGAAGGATGACTCCTGCTTATTTCACTTTAGCAGCTGGACAGATGGGGGTGCTATGGGTCTGGAATACGGAAGACTAAGGGTTTAGGGGGGAGATAATAAGGGTACAGCTTGGGTTTGAGATGCCTATGAGATAATTATCATCCAGGCCCTGAATCAGAATAAGAAAAAAATCAGGTAATTGAAATGACTTCCCAACAGTCAGCTCGGTGGGTCGCTCACACCACAGATCTGACTGGCTGACAGGTTGCATTGTGCTCAGCTGCCTCGTTCCTGGTTCCCAGAGTGCACCTATTCTTAGGTGTTCCAAGGTTTCCAGGGAATGGAGGTGAGTGTAAACCCTCTGTTCTGTCTTGGGGTCTCGATCTGATGCACTGAACTCACATCATATAAGTGAGAGTCAAGGGGCCAACCTGGTTTCAACTGGCAACTTGCCACGTGACTGTGGCCATATCCTTTCTCTGTGCCTACTGCAAAACTGTAGTCACTCAAGTCCTTTCCAGTGTCAACATGGTATGCCCTTAAAGGCCTTTGTAGAACACGCTTATTTAAAAATCCTATCCCCATTGTTTCCATCAATAAATCTTTATTGAAAACCTACAATGTACCAAGATATTGTAAGTACTTGGGATGCACAGTGGACAAGGCCAACAAAGATGCCTGCCTTCATGGAGCTTACATTCTAGTTCTGAGATACAAACTGTCCATCTAATATCTTTGCAAATTACAAAGAATGCCAGAAAATGCTATGAAAAAAAGATAAAAATAGAGTAAGGGGAGTGCTGAGGAGCAGGAAACAGACAGGACCATTAAGTAGAGTGGCCAGAGAAGGTAGCATTGAAATGGTGGTGCTTCGCGGACTTGGAGGAGGCAAAGGAGCAGGCCAGCACCAAAGAAAAGTGAGTGATCCCCATCTGAAACACAAGCCTTGACCAGTCATTTTGTGGTGGGAGTCTTCCTAAATCCAGCCTAACCCCACTTCCAGAGATGATAGTCTAACCCGGGGATGAGTGCTTCCTGGTGGGAAACCCTCCTTCTCGACTCAGCAGTTTTCTGATTGAAAGTCCTCCCACCCTCCCAGAGTGACCCCAGCGGACATGCATCTCACATAAACAGGCCTGATGGCCTTGACCTATGGCTTCTTTCCTCATCCTTCTCTTTCCCTCACAGAACCTCACTCTGAAGTGTCCATACTTCATTCCCTGCAATTCTTCCAGAACCACCAGTGAGTTCACCTGGTCTGTCTTGCACCAAAGGCATCTGAGGTTCAGCCTACTCATCAGCTACCATATTTCACCTCCTTCTCCCCACAGCAGATCTGATTACTATTCTATTTTGTTGATGAGAAATCAGAAGTCTTTTCCAACAGGG